GGTGTGTGTGTGTGTGTGGCCAGCTCAGCCCACCAGGGGGCGGGGCTGGCTGTCATGTGGTGCTGGGGGATCGAACCGCGGTCCCTGATGGTTTGCTAAGCTTGTTCTAAGTAGGTGCTTTAGACCACTGAGCCATCTCTCCAGCCCTCCATTTTATTTTTAAACAATACACAAGCAGACATCTACTGTATTTGCATTTATTCCCTTTTAAAAATGGCATTTAAAATGATTAAATAAACAGAAGTATACCATACACACTTTCTCTTGCTTTGTCATTATGTCACAGATATCACTATATTCATATGGAGATAGTGCTCATTCTCCTTTACAGCTCCTAACTCATAACAGGTTTGTCAGCTGTAACCCTGATATTTTTTTCTCTGTCTTCTTCCAATATTAGTACCTGTCACTGAAGTGAGCATAACAGTGACAATGGTTAGGACTACAATTTCAGGTACATACCATATACTGTCCTAATACTTGTTGAAAGTCTGCAGCAACTGCATTTGAAGGAGAAAAATGCTCTTGTGACATCAAAGGATTTCTTGTAAAAGTATCACTAACCTGGAGAAATGAATGGAAATATGTAACCTGTATAGATGATTTCAATTGGAGAATTACAGAGCCTATATTCATTTGAAGCAAAGCCTGGCAGAAACTTGAAAATAAAAGAAATTGTAACATTCCTGGCATTTGGTGACAGGGCATCCTTTTACATTAAGATGCAATAATTATGAAAACTGCCCTAAACTGATCTTTCCTCTGATGCTGTACAGGACAGAAACTTTGCATAACTGTGAGCAGACCAAAGGGGAGGGGCAGGCACTTCCCTGTGTCCCATGACCTTCTCTAAATAGTGTTGTGTCTCCCTTTTGCCCCTACCTTCAAAGTTCACTGGACAATAACACAACAATGCTAACTAAATGGCAGGACTGTCTATCTAACCCTAGTTATAGAACATTTCCAAATCTTGGAACAGAACTGTGAACTCTTTGTGCTTAATGCTGTATTTCTTTGAAGCAGTGGTAACTATTATGTGGTTAGCAATTTTGTGTCTCCTGGCAAAGTTGGAATGTTTTGATGTAATGGGCAGAGAGAAAACAAATTAGGGTATGTTCAGTTAAGTGGCTGTTTGGCATCTGGACTCCAGAAATTGGTCTAGGTGTAACTGAAGAGTGAATTACAGTATTTAGGCCTGATTATCTTGGACTTCATCCATAGATGGATACAATTTGAACTGTATCATGCAAGTTAGCACATGGGAGAGAAAATATGTATGTGAGTCATAAATCTGATGATATAGTAATAAATTCTAACAATAGTATATTTGGATTTTAATTACTATGTTTATTAAAATATTTATCCTGAATTATATATTTGCAAGTAAAACAGCAGATTAGTGTCATTTACTATTAAATATAAGAAATTAACACAGAAATCACCAGAATAATGCTTTAGCTCTTGTCTATCTCTAGATTGCCTTGCATGGAGTCTCCTACTGGTTGGAGACCAAACCTGGGCAACAGGAACAACAGGTACTAACTGTTGAGGTTTGTTACCCTTTAGAAATTTTTCTTTTCTTTCTTTTTTTTTTTTTAATGTATTTGGTACAGGGCCTCACTACACAGCTTGGACTAGTAGTGTTTGTCCTGTTTTCAGGCTCTCCAGTGCTGGGATTACAGAGGTGTGCCACCACACCCTGACTCGGTGGGGGTGGGACTGGCTTGGCTTGTGGTGCTGGGGATTGAGTCTAGACCTGCACTTGCCTAAGCAGGTGCTTAGTCTGCTGAGCTATCTCCTCTTTTTGGAAATTTACCAGATTTCTTATAGCTACATAAGTGCATTGAAATAAGCACTCTATTTGCCATAGTTTATATTTGTTGGTGGTTCTCAGTTAAAACTTTCCGTGGATATAATTTGTTTTGCTTTAAGAATATTTATTTTTATTTT